GGTTTTTATGACTTAGAAATATTTATTTATGTGGCTTACCTTGACAGCAAGGAAACGAATCTTCCGGTCATGTTTATAATTTTTTGGTGCAGTTGTCTCCGGTTAAATATAACTTACTCACTTCAAACAGCGCTCTGCTGATATTCATGGTGCGGTATTTGGCTTTGCGATTTTTATCGAGCGATAGGCGCTTTAACAGGTCATTTGCTGTGATATCTCAAATAGTAGTCTCGTAAAAGGTAGTGCGAGTACTCTAAAACGAGAATTTGGAAATGAATTCGTGACTGTGGAGGAAGACATTGCAACTCGTGATCTCGGCAGCAATAGAGTTGAATTGCAGGCGAGCAAAGGTAACGTATGACCTACTCATCTTTCGATTTTTTAGGCGTAAAAGAACGGGTTCGCGTCCAAGTGTTTGACGAGAACTCGCGCACGGCCGTGTATGCATTAGAGAACTCCAAGACAACGTTGTCGTGCTACGTCGAAGGTAAGGTTTTAATAACTCAAATTCTAGAGAATGAATTGATTTACGTGGCACGATTTGCTTTAGGTTGAATTTCAACTCCTTGCCCTACTCAACTGAATAAACGGATTGATTCATTCTTACAATTTTCTCCATTTTACAGGAGTATTGCTTAATCCAGTGAAATGTATTCAGCAATACCCTCTCGCTTCATTATCTACTCATTTCACCTAGACGAAATCCATGGCGGACGGGTGGATCCTCTCAGTTACAAGTGGGAGATCAAGCATCCTCAACAGGGCTGGGACGAGAACATCAAATCAGGAAAGCTGGCCAACATAGTTGAGGGAATAAATTCTAAAGATCTTGTTCTTAGTGGTCTCCTTGTCTCTGACCCTGATCAGCTTTCAACGTCCTACCAGCTTCGTTGTGCCGCTCAGTACAATGAAACCTACTTCGTGGTATCAAGAGGCTTTGCCGTTAATGTTCACCGTAAGCGGTTAAATGTGGTCTGGATTGCCAAGCTCCATAGTAATTTAAAACACTGGAATTAATGATTGAAAATTGGGTTCTACCTTACAGGAACTCCTGAGTTGAAGTCGATTCACTTGGTGCGTGAAAAACCAGAGTACCAAGAACTGCAAGGTGAACCTGCAAGAGACATATATGACGCTAGTAGCGATTATCTCGTGTTATGCAAGCCCGGATTTTCTGCGGGAGAAGTTCAATCGGTGTGGGAAAAGGTGGGGTTTTTCTCAATATATTTAATCAAACGTAAGCAGAATCCTAATTTCAAGCTTTATAACTTACTAGTACAACGAGGAGTCTGATGACTGGGAGATGCTGAGTCCGCCTTCAGACAAGCTCTTCTTTGTTGCTGACTCAACAGAATATCAGGATGAGGGCCAATACCGATGTCGCATTAGTCACGATCTGCAGGATTATGATTACCACGTGATCAAGACTCGTGTACTTGAACTTCGTCGTATTGGTACGTTAAGCTGAACAACTATAACCTTTGCTTCCAGTTCAATCAAAAATGAAACAGCGGACTCAGAAGTTAATAAGCCCTCACTTAGCGTGTTTCTATTTTAGCTGGTCCTGCATCATCAACTAAAAGTCAGCAGGAATTTACGTTAAACGATGAGCTAATGTTGCAGTGCACCGACCGTTCGGCATCGCCACAAGTTGAGGCTGAGTGGTCCTTCCAACCCAGTGGTGATGCGCCACCTGAAGGCAAGGATCCTCTCACCATTGGTAGCTACTTCCAGCATGACCGGACCAACGTCTTCATGTAAGTCATGCTTTCCTTATAAGATTGATTTCGGTCAAGTCGAAAAAAAAGTTCCGATCAGTTTTGACAAATTATCTCATTAGAATGCTAAGATGTTGTTTTCTAGCATTCCCCGGGGCCAACTGCTAGAGTCGCATTCGGGAACGTACACGTGCACCAGGACGAATGAGTATGGACAGGCAACGACAGCGATTCGTGTCACCGTGAGACCTGACTATCTTGAAACAGTCTATAGTGTGAGTTATTTGAATTTTTTACAACAAAATGCATTCTTTGTGGTTATCCTGGAAAAATGTGCTGATTTACTTGCAAAGGGTCACATTCAGGGTTTTAAAGACAATTATTTATTTCCAAGGTCTTTTGATTTGAACCATGCGCTTCCATCTCATAACTACCTCATTTCAGCTAGGTTGTGTTGATATCCTAGAAGTTACATTGTGTATGGGGCAGCACTGTATTTGGGCCACGTTCAGACCCTTGATTATTTAAAGGAGTCGGGAAGTGGAAGCGCATCGGTAATGCTCAGCCAATTTAATGATTGAATCAAGCGTCGAATAGGGTGTTGCAAATAAGACATCTTGTTTTTTTGCGCAACCAATGCTTTTAATTGAGGAAAATAAACAAGAAACGATGGATGAAGCATAAGACGTTGTGCTGCGGTGAATAGAGGTTCCTATGACGTATTTAGGTACACCCCTCGCCAGCACTTCCAAAAGTTGGCCAGGAGACTGTTTTAGCTACTTGCATAAACTTAAGTAGCGTATCCCCGATGAAATCGTACCTGATTATTAACTTTTATGATGTCATTGTGATAGCCATATGCATGATGCGTACACTGCTTTTACTTATACGACTCCTACATTTCATTTTAGAGACGAGCATAATTGTGTGGTGGAGTTCTGCGCACTTCTCTTAATTCATTTAGGTCCCAGTGGCTAAAGACTAAACCTTTTCTCACCCTAGTCTTACTGATTACTAGCATGTTTCTACAAAATATAAACTTTTAAACATTGCCTTTCCTCTTGCATTTCAAAATTTCCGATAATACAGTAGGTGATGAGCTCCCTGGCAAAGACTGATTAGTTTCGTGGCGGAAGTTCTGAAAGCATCCCTTTTCTTCAACATATGCTCCAAACAACATCGTGAAAACTCCGATGACGTCATCCATTCTTGTCTTGAGTGCCTCCAAAACATTACCTTTGAGGGTAAAATCAGATCTCACCGGATCCAAGTCCAAGCAAAGACATTCCAAAACATCTTATTTTACTCAATGAACCGTGATGTTTGCCATAAAACAATGAACTTTTGACTAGGGGCATTTGAGCCGTGAGAAACTCACTTTTCGATTGGACGCGATTCTTAAGTGGGAATATTCCAAGAATGGTGATCCACCACAAGGAGGTCACTCAAGATGCCAGCATAGTGAGTTGTGAACAGAACTATGAATGGTATGTCTACAAAGAGGTTGTGTAATATTGAGACACATAAATCGGAGCGGCAGGCGATAATGGAACTCAACAAAGTTTGCCGTTGCATCCTAATTACTCTCCAGTAACTCAGGTGATCGCAATTTCGAGATCCAACAGCGTCACTTTCCCCCGCACAAAATTGACTACGGTCGACTAGTCCGTAGACCCCTGTGTCAAAATTACTTGACACCTCAACCTCATAAACTAAGCCCTACGTCAATGTTGGTCTGCATTGAACGCTACATGCGTGATGTAGCTAATTATCCAATGGAAAGGAAAATCATCCGATATTGTAAAAACTTCTTAGCTTTGCTGCACATGTAAAAGTCAACGAGGAAACCACATGCCAAGACCCTACTTCCTTCAGTCTAACTCACAAATGTCGTAAACACCCTAAAGTTGAAAATGCGAGCACTGTCGAGTCGATCAGAATGTTTATCTTTCGTTCACAACAGATATGGCATTTTAAACCAGGCCGTGGCGCCACCAACGTTCATCATGGCACTTTTTACGCCACACCGAGTCCTCTCTTTGAAGGAATTCACCTTCTTTCTCATTTCCACGTTTTACCTCGTTCTCAAGGTCCCCATCACTCCCCGCCTTTTCGCTCTTTGCTGCTACCTCTGAGGGTGATTCCCGTGCTTTTGTCAGCTTTTCTACTACAAGTCGAGTACGGTGCGCAACGAGAAGCGAATGGGGATGGATGGGGAGAATGCCAGCGAGTCCTAGGAGTTCGGAGACACGTTCCGTGGGTTGGGCACCCTGACCTACCCAATAGAGGATGCGTTCCAGATTCAGCCCCACCAATTGTTCTCCATAGTCGCGATTAGGAAAGGGATCCCAGCAGCCAATCTGCTCTATGCCTTGGTCCAATCCGTGCGCCTGGCTTGGCTTTACCTATCAGTTGACAAAATTCAGATATAAGATAAGCGCGAGATAGCTGAGAAAGTGTACAAAACATTAAAATTAGCTCTACGTGATAAGGATGATGGCATGCACCATTCTTTGGCTCTTGTCAGTAAGGCAGTGTTTAGACCCGTCAAACGAATTTCTACGAAGATTCGATCCAAATAATAGGTTTAACAATGAAAAACAAACCCACATCCTGAGTCTGAACTGTCTGATTGAGAAAAAAGCCTCATATATTACACAAAGAATGGAATGGTATCGGGTTCGTTGGCTTTGAGGATGTAACCACAGACACTGCATTACATTGACGAATTTAGTCGGACCAGAGAGGGAATAGCGGGTCTGTTAAAATGGCTTTACCCGCTAAAACAAAACACAAATTGTTTCAATCTGATACCACCATAAACATACTTTGTTGCATTAATGGAAAATGTAAAAACTTGAAACATTGAGAGAATTCATTTCATATGCCTTCATTTTCAACACATCAGTCTAAATCGATGGGGAATTCATTCAAAAAAACATCCAATCATATAAAGACCCATCCTGCGAAAGTCTGTACGATGAGTAGACGAAGGTGAGTGATCATTATTTCACAAGACCTTCCAAAAAATAAACATGCATCTATGCCATCGGCAAAACCAATGCTTGAAAATGAAAACTACGCAAACAGTAAATGCTCCACAAAGTATGCAGACAGTATTTTGGACCAAGGGAAGATCTATCGAGTAGTCCTCGGTTATGTGTATCCAAAAGCACTTGCAACACTTAACAAATCCAGTAATTGGAGATCAAGTGCTTCCATTTTGATCAAAATTACCTATCAGATTAATGACGCCTTCAATGTCTTCAAGATACTACGATCTTACAGTCCTTACAATTTTGTTCAGGGCGGCGATTATTAAATTATTGGTACTAGCAAATTGATCATGGATAAGTATCGACGCTTAACAATGTTATCGAGTCGAACGACTACCATATAAACGAGATCAATCGAAGGCAATAGGGAGCCCGCTAATGACTGTCTAAGTTACGGCCATAAGAAATAAGCTATCAAACAATGTCGCATGGTGAAGTAAAAGGTCGCACCTGGATGGTATAGAAAGGCCGGTTCCTACAGCCCTCTCGAACCATGCTAATGTGAAGGTGTGGAAGAGGCTTCACAGGACGCAAACCAACCACCTTCTTAGAGGTATCGCGAGGTTGAGGCAGCCACCAGGAGCTACACCGATCCCTACCTGGTACAAATCGCTTGTCCATGTCCTTGCTTTCTTCAGCAATGAGCCTTTTCAATCTGTCGGCAGGTATCGACCGAAGGTGGCGACACGCGTAAGTGAATGTGTATGACTGTGTATTGATGATGGCCGGGCGAAAGCAAGCCTAGACATGGTAATACCATTGTAAGCACAACCAAAGGTAAAACGGCGCATTACTAAATTAGTGGTGCTGAAGGTAGTAAACTAAGTTAAACAATTAAAAAAAGCCCACATATGGACTCACTAGAGCCTAATTTCATGCCTGCTTAAACAAACAAAAGATGCATATAAGACATGCAAATCCCATCAAAGTAGGGGCTAATAAAGTACTAGTGTCACAATGTATCATAAAAACAAAGCCCATAAAATGCCCAAAATTTCAGATCCCGTAGTACGAGTTCAACACAGACCACAACAATGAAGAAATTCGAAAAGTTACCGGACATAATGACTGAAGAAAAGCACCAAAATCCAACACAACTATTTTTCATTGTTTGAAATGGGCTAATAAAATAGTGAGAAAATTTTAAGCTAACATATGCCACCGATACTTCAGTACTCCACTCAGAAAATTTTGGGTGCTTGTAACACGGAAAAGAGTTGGTTTCAAAGGAACGACTATGTATGAGTTTACCACCACCATAGATTCCCATCGAATCCACTCTACTCAGTCCTGGGGACCCCTAACAAACTCGACAGAATCAGATTATACAAACTACAAAGCAGGTGTTTTGAATGTACAATGAACGAATTGTAGCTGTTAAGAAATTAATAATAAGCAAATTGAGTACTAACTTTACAAGGACAGCCGAGGGAAGCAATAACAACCCTAAAGCCGCAGCTAGCACCCAACTGACACCAAAGCAGGCTTATAGTGAAACATCGCACACAGTGTGAACTGCCCGAGCAATAGAAAAAAGTACGTTCCCTTACCCCAATTTTTGCCTTGAGACACGTTCGAAAAAAGAAAAACAGATCCTCAACCAAACTCTCGTGAACGATGAATAAAAATATAAACAATCGAGATTCCAAACATGAGATCATCAGAGGCGCGTAACTAACAGCCCACGTGAGGTACTACTTTTGCAAGCTATAATAAACAGAAAAACCAGCGTACAAACTTGATTTATTGTAAAAGGTAACACAAAACATCCAATCATTACATGTGCAGGATTAATAAGTTCGGTTCGGACCTGAAATAATCCGTTAATCATGATCCGTGTAGAGCAGGGGAGATGTAAATGTTAAGAAAATGAGCTGACAAACTCTGCATTGATGTGCGGCGCCTCACACCTCCATGAAACCGTTGATGTAGTGAACATTGAAGTTGAGATTTTGAACCAGAAAACGCAGGTTCTGATCTGTGTGGTTCTGCAGCATACCCATAAACTCCGTAACCATGCTCTAAGAAGGAGAAAAAGGACCAATTTCCTAGAGACACCAACAAAGCCAGAGATCCCGTTTCATAGGAAAAAAGAATGTTTACTTCGAGAGCCAAGTGAGTTGAATGCAATAGGATAAAAAAATCTTGAGAGCTTAGCTCAAAATGAAATTATTTTACTGAGTGTCTAACACGCAACTATTAGCTGAGCGTAAACACTTTATTAGTAGAATCCGGACAGCTTACTCTATAGCTGGATGCAAGAACGCGAATTCGTGCAATCAAAGGGCTGACAGTGGCCTCAATGAATACCTGACGCCTGACCATTTCCCGACTTTCCGGAGTGTCGCATGTTCCCCATTGTCCTACCCTTGCTGAAGCCTCAATCTAAATAGGAGATAGGCAGCAACAAGCGATGCCAGACGACTGTTAGGCCTCAAATTACGCAAGCATTCTGCATTCAAAGGCTAGAGAGCTTATCAACAAAACAATTCACAAGAACTAAGTTACCATAAAAACCAACCTCCTCTTGCAACTGAGATCTGATCACAAGTTCATCCATAGCCAAATCTTGCAGATCCTGATTGAGTTGAGAGAAGTTGACAATTACATCAAAAATGGCTCTCAAGTGGTATCGCAGATCCCGCGAGTTCTGATCCAGCAGACAACGAGAAATCACATTGCTCAGAAACGCCTTGTGAGCCTCAATAACTTCGTCCAGATCGTTGGCAGAGTTAAGTTTAGTCCCCAAAGCCACCCAAGCACATTCCAGAGCCTGTGAAAGTAAGCAGTCGCTAAGATACAACGCGATGCATAGGGAATACAGACGGCATCTCCTCGGCGTAGAAGGACAGAAAAGGTCGCAAAGTTGAGGAACCCATTATAAATTATGACAACCCTGCATGCACCACAACAAAACGCCACATTAAAAAAGATTGTATAACAATGAATAGGTGACCAACAACTAAAGGAACACTGCGATTCTACTTTATCAAGAATCGTGGGTACGCATTGGCAGAGGAAGAATGTAGTGCTTGTACCCAGAATCACCCTTACTTGCGCGCTGCTTTGCTACAAATATCCCACCTAAATTAATTCACTAGCTTCCAACCTCTGTTCTCTCTGCCATCATAGAACATATATGTGCCCGAATGCCGAGTAAATAAAGGAAAAGTTCGCCACAGAATGTTAAACATTCTTGTCTCCTAGGTAGAGATAATCGACTAGGTTTTCGGAATGAACAAAGGGGAATAATGATGCCAAGAAGGACGGCATTTAAATTAAAAACGTAAAAATAATTTGTATTCGCCCATAGAAGTTATTCAAATGGAAGGCAGAATGATGGAGATCTACCTCAAAATTAACATAGTACTGTAACTGCAAAACAAAGTGCCGGAACTCCGCCCCAAGAAGCTGAACCACATGGAGGACGGGTGTTAGGTCTGCGGAAAGCCTATGGGGCAGACGCGCAAGCAGAAGTTGATCGCGCCACAGTGCACTAAGGGTGAATTCCATACGTTTAAGGCGCCAGAGAAAGCTGAAGGCCTTTAGGTAGAAGAGACGACAGTCGGGAGTGAAGATGGTAGAGAGAGGGCCGTCAACCGTGTAACCCAGGGAGAAGATGTCCCAACCACTATCACCTTGAATTAGAATGTTGCTAAATTACACAACCGGTAAAGCAAAAAACTTAAGTCGCCATACTTTCTGGCTAAGCGCAAATTAATACTAAAAGAAAAGGCATAAACCTAAGAATAAAATAGCACCCTAATGCACCACTACACAAACAAAAAAATGGAGGCTTTACCTGTGCTCACTCTTAATTCACCTCCCAAACTACGCCTTTTATAATTTCGTCTACTGAGTCGCTGCAAACTTTAATTTGGTGGAGTGATGGTCTTCCATGGTAAGGTCATGAGATAAAAATGCTCAAGTAGTTCCTCATCAAAGAAGTCCGTGAAATTAATATATGCAAAATGTAAGGAAATATGTACCATACTTTAGTTTGCGTGCTTTACTACGCCAATGAAAGCATGCAAGAAGACATTATCGGATAATGAGTGGAAGAGCCATTGTTATTCGGAAGTGATCTAACCTCAGGTCAACAAAAATAAATGTCATGAAAGCTTCGTAATTGCGATTTGAGGCACGTAGAAAAGCGACCACTCACCATCAGCAGTCTCGAGGATCTCGACATTTAGTCTTTGGAGAATTTCTGAGCCCTCATATTGCGCGTTGGTGTCACGAATCGCGGTCTCCAGTATTTCGTTAAGGCGATGGCGCATTACGTTCTCCGCTGGCAGCCCAAGTTCTGGCCTGTTTCATCAAGGAAGATGAACGGATGAGCCTTCGAGAAATGTGAACACATTTCGCGTTAAGCATCCAAAAATGTCAGACAGCAAAGAAGCATTAGTGGCTAAAATTTGAAAGCCACAGATTCACACTAAAAGTAAGTGCATCTTATGTTGCAAAAAGAAGCGTGTGCCTCAAGTCACTTTACTGAGATGAAACGTCTAGCCGAAGAGCATGTTATGTTGGACACCATTTACATCGCAGTTCACTACATAAAGGGAGCTGAGGTAGCCCACTAAACAGCATTGACGATGAAATAGACTTACTCCAGTAGATCTATCAGACGTTGGATAAAATCGCCCTGGCCCAAGAGTAGGAACTTCCGACAGGCCTAATCAAATGCGAAATTCAGAAATACCTATCCACCGGATAACAGCATAGATAAAATATGGGGAGCATGGTCAAACTTTTGAAAGAATGAAGCCCACGTTTGAAGTAAGTAGATTCGCAGTTCAAAGCGTTTACCGTTAGGTGGTTTACGAAGTGATATTTATCAAATAGGATGGTGAGAAGGTGCTTGGAAACATGCGTATAGGCAGTAGAGATCATTCCGTCAAAAGAGTTGTCAAACACCTGATCGAAGATAGACTTGACTACAAAATAAGGGCGCATTACAAAATTCGTACAACGCAAAATACAGCTTGCAGATCGCCAGGAAAAATGATAAAACGTACTTTGTTTTATTCGTGTCGTACGAATTGCCTCTAGGTCTTTGAAAACAAGAGAATCGTTGCATACATGGGTAAGAAAGTTGACAGATTTCCCGACCAGCAAGATCTAGATACCAAAATAAATTTGATGTTCCTAGAAAGTTGCCTATGAATAATTATCTGAAATTATACGACGAAGTCCGGTCCTGAACCCAGTTACAAAACATTGGTAGTACGATGGACCTTTGCAAGGTATTTTAGTAGATCGTAGTCACCAAACGTGAGCATTCAATCGGAAAGACTGGATGATTACGTCAGACAAACCTTTCTAGCCTGTTCCCTATGGATGAAAACAGGGACCATTGATTTTCGAAGGCCATATTTATCGGTCCACAAGTTCGATTTTTCCACAGAGGGATTGACGGTGATGAAGAATTCCTGGTTGGCATCGGCCATAAGTTGCCCGTCATATGTCCACAGCGCAATCATTTCAAAGATAGTCCGTGTGACGTTTACAAGGATAGTAGTGAGCATTGACTGAATTTGTGGCCCACCATTCTGGCTCATTTCATAGACCTAGGGGTGAAAGAGTGGACGCCTTTCGAAATGCTGCATTATACAAATAGTGTATGCAAAAATGAGGCGGAGTAAGCGTCTTTCATGCGCGAAACCTCGTATTTGGATGACCAACTGACATTATGGAGGCAACTGAAGACCTGATTAGGCAGTTTCAATAGCCATCGTCTAGGTGAAATTTGTGATTACCAAAGCCTATTTGGGGTTCAAATGCGCCACCAAGCAAGTAGAAACCCATGAGGTGCGTGAACAAAGGAAAAGCAGCCACTAACGATGAAATAGTTCATGAACCTTTAGAAGGTTGCCGCGATCCAAAAAGGAAAGAACCACAATAATCACGCCAATGATTTCCAAAATGAACAAACGCGGTTGAGGTTTATCTAGTGTTTTGCAAAAAAAGCATGCAAATAACTAACCCTTGTCATACCGTAGCTCTCTTCACTTCTCCTAGTCACATTTTTGCACATTTAAAAAAGCTGGTGAAAGTGGATTATTTAAAATGCAGCTCTGAAGGAAACAACACGGATTAGCAACTGTACCATAAACTGAAAGAGCATTTAGTTGGTCCATAAGCAAAAAATACAAGCACGAAATAGCATTTTCGCATACTAGTGAAATACACACAATCCTTACTCTGTTTGTTCTCCGTAATGCCGAAAGGATATATGATGTACAGAACAAATACCTTAGACACGAGTGCACCACCCTTTAACGGAGCGCATAAGTCGACTAGAGAGGCAAGGATCTTGAGACGTCTTTTGGGCTCCATAAGCCAGTGCGACAGCTGTACAAGCGTTAGAGATCGCATGCCTGGACTAGTTTCCGATTGACTACCATCCACTAAGGAATGCATCAAGGGGGCAGTCGAGGAAAACTGCCGCGACACTTTCTCAGAATTGAGATTGGTATCGATCGTTTCTGCCTCCAAATCGCGATTCATCTGCGCCTTGAAGAGGAAAACGGTCCTTGTGATTTTGCTACAGTCTTCAAAGAAAATTGTATTATACAAGCTCGCAGAGGATGGAAATTTACCTCAAGTGTTGTGACTAATCGGAGGTACTCAGTTAACTGTTCATCGATTGAGAAAGCCAACGAGAGGGAAACTTTCCCAGAGTTAGGGTCGTTACGAGTACCATCGACGAAGCTTCTAATACGATTGTATAGCCAACCGCACACAGATATACGCAATATATGCGTCTGCATAGACGGAGAGAGAGTAAGGTGTGGGGCGGGCTGTAGGCAAACAACATAAATACGATTATGCATCCCAACCCCGAATGATCAGATATGCAACCAGAACAATTATTGAATAAGCACAGAAGACGCCTCAATACTGTGGATCCATCAATATGGAGCATGGTATATTGAAGCGAATGCACTTCCATTTTAACACATAGAGGTAGATTCAACTACAAGATCGAAGGAGAAAAACGCACCATAAAGGCATCAAGAGTGGGGTCATATTGAATCAGAGAGCCACTTGCTCCCGAAAGAGTAAGAATAGCCTCCCTTAGTATATCCTGTTCGACCAGAGAGACAGCTAAAAGAATGAAAAAGTCCACGAAATCTAATGAAGGCCGACAACGTCAAAGATGTGACTGATATTTAAAAAATACGTGCTACCACTGTCATGGGTTCATCGAACCATTACACAAGCATCTAATTTTACACCTCAGAGGTGATAAAATGCCCCCAGATCTAAAACAAAAGACGCAGTCAATAATGATAATTTTTGAGAGGTGGAATAACACCGATTATCATCAATAGCAAGCTCGGTAAAAATACTCGATCTACTTGCGCAAAAGAAAGGTTCCCTACCCTTGCTTGAAGAGGCCACATGGTAATCACGACGGCTACTGAGACCACGATCAAAGGCGCTCGCATTTGAGTGGGTGCCCCACAGTGGGGATGGCGTTTGCCGACCCGACGCTAGGCCTCGGCTTAAGGATGCGTCTGTATTGTGCCCGTCGGAGGGATTTCTAGTAAAACTATACAATCATGTGGTGTTCACGTCATAGATTTTTAGTTATAGAGTTTATATAGCCAGAGACAGTGAAGTTGACCAAACAAGATCGAGTCAACCGAATGAAATGCTTACAAGTGCAATAATATCAGACGCAACTTCGAAGGCTTCAAACAAACCTTAGCATCAATAATAGAAGTCTATATATTTTAAGGGAAAATCTACATAGCAGAGAAAAATCGCTGATTATGGAAAGTGGTATTTTCCACAAAAAGACCATCGACAAACGCGTTTCTGTTAGAACGCGCAATAAAATGGCCGACAAATCGGGGGTATTAAATTAGCAGAAAAACCAATAAGCAAGGCCGGTCTTACGGTCTGAAACTATGGCTTCTTGATGAATGTCCGGCAGACATACTGTTTGCATTAATACGCCTTAGAATTGCCAACGTGGGACGTTGTAAAAGTACTGGTGCTGGAGATGAGATGCAATCACGTTTAAGCAAAATCAAAAACAAAAAAATATTTCGTCGAAGCTCTTCTGTGGTGTCTAAAACGGTAGGATTCGTTAACGAGATCTTGTAATGCCAAAATACCCACGAAGTTATGAAACAGTTTCAGGTTATGTCGAATGCTCACAGACTTGTGCAATGGAATAAAGTCTAGAAGCAACCAACGATAACATAAGTGATAAGACATACCCAAACTACTTGGTTTTAGGCCAGAAGGAACAGAGTAGGCCTCAGTGGTTCTAAATTCAATGTCAAGTGTACATCGGTGCTTACCTACTTATAATCTGAACAGCATATGCAATATAAGACTTAAGACCTAAAAATTATCCTATGCGAAAGGACTTACAAAAGCTATTCAACAATTGACCAAAGACAGCCTTGACTAAATCAACGACCTCTTCGTCACGAAAGTAACTGTGCATTGAGGTCGTTCTAAGCAGGTTCGAAAAAAGAATAAATAAATCTAGCAAAACTCATATAAACTCTACAAATTATCATGTGAAACACAACTAGTTAACAAAGATTTATTAATATACCCCGCGATAAGAAACCACAATAGAATGTCACAAATTAGATAACTGCAGGAGAAGCTATACAGAAGCGTTAAAAAGTTTAGTGTCGCTTTAAATCAACAACTTAATTTTTAAAAAAGGATTAAAGTAAAAAATTACCCTAGCATAATTAAAAAAGGCACCGAAGGCATAATCTCAAGCACCTGAAACTCCATATACGTAAGTTAGTTGGAAGAGGGCTTATTAGACACACGGCATAGAAGGGAAATAAGTCTGAATATCAATATTCGACAGCCATAAGGACAAGCAAAACAATCAGGCTGTAACGTCCCAAAACTCCCTAGCCGGTAGAAGAAGTCAGTAAGTGCAGCTTAATACATGTATTCCGAAGACGATGGCCA